TTTTTTCGGCTTATTCACCAAACTAGTTTCTAATTTTTTTGAAAAAAAAAAAAAAAAAACTTGAAAACTAATCCAAATTGTACCTAAAAAATTTAAATAGTTTATATACATATAAACAATAATACTAGGTATCATGAAAGAAATATCATCAAAAGTCTTTATGAAGATTCTCCATTCTTGAATTAGGATAAAGTGTTTTATTGTATGGCATGCAATGTTAGTTTCATGAATTTTTTCATGATATGTACATTATTCCAATAAAAAATAATTAAGTGAGATACTAGAAATATAAAAAAGAAAAAATATTATTTTTTTAAAAAAAATAATTACTACAAATTAGACTTGCACCCTGCATAGATCGAATTTGCACCCCACATATTTGGTTGAATTCTGTGTGGGTTGCAAGTCTAACATGTACGGAGTGCGAGTTTAATTTGTAGTGATTATTTTTATATTTGATTGAATTATGTGCAGAGTGGAAATCTAACTTGTGTAGGTACAAGTCTAAATTTTCACTACAAGAAAAGTGGGCATAAAAGACGGAGCTTTTTGCGACAGCACAACTTGCTGTCACAAAAAATGTGACTTTTTTGAGACGACACAACTTGCCGTCGCAAAAAAATGTGACTTTTTTAGACGGTACAACTTGCCGTCGCAAAAAATATGACTTTTTGCGACGGCACAACTTGCTAGGTTGTGGTGCAAGTCCAACGCATGGGTTCAAGTTCATTATTAAAATGATAATTTTTTTAGGCTTATTCACCAAACTAGTTTCTAATTTTTTTGAAAAAAAAAAAAAAAAAAACTTGAAAACTAATCCAAATTGTGCCTAAAAAATTTAAATAGTTTATATACATATAAATAATAATACTAGGTATCATGAAAGAAATATCATCAAAAGTCTTTATGAAGATTCTCCATTCTTGAATTAGATAAAGTGTTTTATTGTATGGCATGCAATGTTAGTTTCATGAAATTTTTCATGATATGTACATTATTCCAATAAAAAATAATTAAGTGAGATACTAGAAATATAAAAAGAAAAAATATTATTTTTTTAAAAAAAATAATTACTACAAATTAGACTTGTACCCTGCATAGATCGAATTTGCACCCCACATATTTGGTTGAATTCTGTGTGGGTTGCAAGTCTAACATGTACAGAGTGCAAGTTTAATTTGTAGTGATTATTTTTTTATTTGATTGAATTATGTGCAGAGTGCAAATCTAACTTGTGTAGGTACAAGTCTAAATTTTCACTACAAGAAAAGTGGACATAAAAGACGAAACTTTTTGCGACAGCACAACTTGCTGTCGCAAAAAATGTGACTTTTTTGAGACGGCACAACTTGCCGTCGCAAAAAAATGTGACTTTTTAAGACGGTACAACTTGCTGCCGCAAAAAATATGACTTTTTGCGACGGCACAACTTGCTAGGTGCAATTTCAATTTGTGTGTGGTGCAAGTCCAACGCATGGGTTCAAGTTCATTATTAAAATGATAATTTTTTTCGGCTTATTCACCAAACTAGTTTCTAATTTTTTTGAAAAAAAAAAAAAAAAAACTTGAAAACTAATCCAAATTGTACCTAAAAAATTTAAATAGTTTATATACATATAAATAATAATACTAGGTATCATGAAAGAAATATCATCAAAAGTCTTTATGAAGATTCTCCATTGAAGATTCTCCATTCTTGAATTAGGATAAAGTGTTTTATTGTATGGCATGCAATGTTAGTTTTATGAAATTTTTCATGATATGTACATTATTCCAATAAAAAATAATTAAGTGAGATACTAGAAATATAAAAAAGAAAAAATATTATTTTTTTTAAGAAATAATTACTACAAATTAGACTTGCACCCTGCATAGATCGAATTTGCACCCCACATATTTGGTTGAATTCTGTGTGGGTTGCAAGTCTAACATGTACGGAGTGCAAGTTTAATTTGTAGTGATTATTTTTATATTTGATTGAATTATGTGTAGAGTGCAAATCTAACTTGTGTAGGTACAAGTCTAAATTTTCACTACAAGAAAAGTGGGCATAAAAGACGGAACTTTTTGCGACAGCACAACTTGCTGTCGCAAAAATGTGACTTTTTTGAGACGGCACAACTTGCCGTCGCAAAAAAATGTGACTTTTTGAGACGGTACAACTTGTCATCGCAAAAAATATGACTTTTTGCGACGGCACAACTTGTTGTCGGAAAAAATAGAATATTTGCGACGGCAGAAAATACTGTCGCGAAAAAAGGATAGTATTTGCGACGGCAAAAATTGCTATCGCAAAAAAAAAAAGAGAGTATTTGCAACGGCAGAGATTACTGTCGCAAAAAAATAGAGTTTTTGCGACGACACCAGCTGCAGTAAACAAAAAAAAAAAAAAAGAGTTTTTTGCAATTGTAATAGGTACTGTTGCAAAAAAAAAAAAAAAAAAAAGAGTAAAAATTATATATATATTGTGGCTTTGAGACGCCTTCATATATATATAGTCACAAAATGGTTTAAATAAATGCAACGGTATTTTTCTGTCAGAAAAAAAAAAGACGTCGTCTTACTCTTTTGATATAACATTTCTCGTTTTACCCATTTTTTTTGTCTTTCTGTCTCTCTATCACTGTCTTTGTCTCTCTTCTCTTTCTCTCTCTTACTCATCACTCTTCTCTGTCTGTCTGTCTCTTTCTCTCTCTCACTCATCACTCTTCTCTGTCTGTCTGTCTGTCTCTTTCTCTCTGTGTCTCTGTCTCTCTTCTCTTTCTTTTTCTCGTTCATCACTCTTCTCTCTCTGTCTGTCTATCTGTCTCTCTTTATGTCTCTCGCACATCTCTCTTCTCTCTATCTCTCTCATCTCTCTCTCTTCTCTTTATCTCTCTCGCTCATCTCTCTCTGTCTCTCTTCACTTTATCTCTCCCGTTTATCTCTTTTCGCTCTTTTTTTCTCTCTTTCTTTTTGTCTATCTCTTTTCACCCATTTTTTCATCTTCCTCTCTCTCTCTCTGTCTCTTTCTCTCTCTCACTCATCACGTTTCTCTCTCTGTCTCTCTCTCTCTATGCCTTTCACTCATCTATCTCTTCTCTCATCTCTTTTCTTTCTCTATCTCTCTCGTTTATCTCTCTTCTCTCTATCTCTCTCTGTCTCTATCATTCATCTCTTTTCTCTCTATGTCTCTCTCGCTCATCTCTCTTCTCTCTATCTCTGTCTCTGCTTCTGCCTCTCTCGTTCATCTCTCTGTCTCTTTTTCTGTCTCTCACTCTCTATCTCTTTCTCTCTTTATCTCTCTCTTCTCTTTCTCTCTCTCACTCATCACTCTTCTCTGTCTGTCTGTCTCTGTCTCTCTTTCTTTCTTTCTCTCTCGTTCAACTCTCTTCTCTCTATCTCTCTTATCTCTCTTCTTTCTCTATCTCTCTTGCTCATTTCTCTTCTCTCTGTCTCTCTTACTCATTTTTCTTCTCTCTCTGTCTCTCTATTTTTCTATGTCTTTCTCTCGATCATCTCTTTTCGCTCTCTTTCTCTCTCTCTCTTTGTCTATCTCTCGCTCATCTCTTGTTTTTCTCTCTTTTTTTGTCTGTCTCTCTCTATCTCTTTCTCTCTCTGTCTCTTTCTTTCTCTGTCTCTCTCTCACTCATCACTCTTCTCCCTATCTTTCTCTCTCTGTGTCTGTTTGTCTATCTCTCACTCTTCTTTCTCTTTTTCTCTCTCTGTGTCTGTCTGTTTCTCTCCCTCATTGTGTTCACCTTGCTCACTCTCTCTCTCTTCTCTTCTTTATTTACCGAGCTCTCCACTACAAGAAAATGCACTTTTAGCGACCACTTTGTCTCTTTCTCGCTTATTACTCTGTCTCTGTCTCTATCTCTCTTCTCACTACTACCACTGTTGCCACTCCACCTCTACGACTATCATTACTACCACCATCGATACCACTCCACTACCACCACTACTACTACCATTATCTTTCCTCCACCACCGCTACTCTATCTCCTCTACCACTACCATAACTTCACCACTAATGTCCTTCGCCATCGCTGCTACCACCATTATCACCTCTTATCCACCACCTTCACCACTACTGCCACTTCCTATTCTCTACCACAAAAAAAAAAGGGTCGCAAAAAAATATTTTTCATTGACCACAAAAAATTAATTTTATTTTAATGGAAAATATTTTTCATTAAAATACTATCCCTACTTCTACCAAATAAAAATAATAATAATAATTTTTTATTCATTAAAATAAATATGAAACAAATAAATTTTCAACCTTAGTAAATGAAAAATAAAAAAAAAAAGTTCATTAACTATAAAAAAAATTATTTTAATAAAAAATATTTTTTTTGCGACGGCATCCTCTGTCGCGAAAAAAAAGGCTCCGTTTTATTATTTAAATATTCATTTGTGACGGAAATAAACTAAAAAAAAAATTTCCATTCCCGCTCACCCCACATTTTCCATTCCCACTCGGGTTCCCTCCCCCCCTCCCCAAAACCCAAAATCCCCAATCTCTTGAACCAAAATCCCCAATCTCAAAAACCAAAAATCCCTAATCTCTTCTTACGTCTCTCTCTCTCTCTCTGTCTCTCTCTCTCCGGCGACCGACAGACCCTTCGAAGTTCCTCATTTCAAAGTTTCTCATTTCTTCTCTCTCCTTCTAGACCCGTCGAAGCCTCCTCATCTTCCAAGTTCGTTCAAAACGTCGTGGTTTCAGCCGAGTACAAGTAAGATTAGGACCTATTGAGCGATAACGAGGAACCTTGTAACGCCCTCATAAAATATACCCATTATATATATCATTGACATGCATTATTTAAGGAAAACACTTTAATAATTCATTATAATATCCATCAGAGTCTTACTAAACAAAAGCATTACATGTAACATCAAAGTAAATGCCCTACCGACTTATATCTTTCCAAGCCAACACTTGGACACAAAGTATGAGTTCTAACTCAAATATAAATAAAGCCCTAGGCTTGAGTGTTTACATGTACTAACAAAAGGTGAACCGGAGGACTAAAGCATCTTTCTTGTTGCTGTATTGTGCAGTCACTGAACTCGTGGAGGGTGATTCGTCTAGGAAAATAGTTGAAATAATTTGCCGGACAAGCTGGCTAAAGTCTGAGAACCATTGTGGTCGAATTGAGAGGGTTTTGAAAGTTCACAACATGCAAAAGACTCTTGCTCGGTTTGAAGAATATAGGGAAGTTGTGAAAATCAAAGCTAGCAAACTTCCCAAGAAACACTCTCGGTGCATTGCAGATGGGAATGAGCTTTTAAGGTTCTATGGCACAATTGTGGCGTGCTCACTCGGCATGAATGGATCATCCACTCTCTGTGTATCTGAAAAATGCTGCGTTTGTAGAATTATAAGAAATGGGTTCTCCACCAGAAAGGAACTTAAGGGTGGTGTCGGTGTTTTCACAACCTCTACTAGTGGAAGAGCTTTTGAATCTATAGAAATTTTTGAAGATAATCCATCTGTAAGGAAAGCTTTAATAGTCTGCAGAGTTATTGCAGGAAGGGTTCATAGGCCACTGGAGAACATACAAGAAATGGCTGGGCAGTCAGGGTTTGATTCATTGGCTGGGAAAGTGGGTCTTTATTCAAATATTGAGGAGCTTTATTTGCTGAATCCTAAAGCTCTCCTTCCTTGCTTTGTGGTAATCTGCAAACCCTAAAGAACATATAGGAAAAAAAATGCTTGGTTACTTCAATTTATGAAGGTTGTTTGAATCAATTTTTTTTTTTTTTAAATCCGTGGTAGAGGTCTCTTTTCTTTTCCACATGAAAGAATTTTGATCCCTCTATCAACTTGCCAGTTGATCAATATTTGTGCTTTGTTTATGGTATCTGTATCTACCTCGGTTATCAATTATGTTGTTTACCCCGTTGAGTCCTCGGAAGACCTACAACGAAGTCCATAGTGACGTGTTCCCACTTCCACTCGGCAATAGGCAAGGGTTGCAACAAACCCGCTGGCCTCTGATGCTCGGCCTTCACTTGCTGGCAAGTAAGGCACTTAGATACAAAAGCTGCCACATCTCTTTTCATACCCCGCCACCAGAACTGGCGACCCAAATCCCAAAAGACTGATCAAAACCCGCTGTTGCGTATATAAACTGGACAGGCTCGCTCGAGCGAAGACTTGGTCGCTCGAGCGACCAGACACCGAGAAACTACGCTCGAGCCAAGGAAGCCTTGCTCGAGCCAACAAGCCAAAATCTCGCTCGAGCGAAAGAAAAATCGATCGAGCGAAGAACTCAAACCCTTAGGTCTATAACTAGACACACGCTCGAGCGAAGGAACTATTGCTCGAGCGAAGAACGAACTAACTCGCTCGAGCGAAGAAAAGCTCGCTCGAGCCAAGAATGCAAAGCTACAGGTCCAAACCAGACGCAAACTCTCGCTCGAGCTACCAAACCCCGGCTCGAGCGAATAACCAAAAACAACATCTCGCTCGAGCGACAAACTCCTCGCTCGAGCGAAGATCCAAAATTCTGGACAGCAACACTTGGTTTCTAAACCCAACCAACCTGAAACAAACCTGCCCAACACATCCTGACTCCAAATGAGAAAATAAGGGACAACAACAACAATTATACAATGACAGAATCTACAGAACCCAAGTTCAGATACTATAATCAAATGGGAAAAGACCGGGGTCGCTATAAACCTAGTTTCTCTCATGCTCTCAAACTCTTCGTTGGAAACATACCTTTCAATGCCGACAGTGCTACTCTTGCTGGGTTGTTCGAACGAGCTGGAAATGTGGAGATGGTTGAGGTATGAATTTACATTTTCGTCTATCTATGATATATATATATATATATATGGGTTTACGGTTTACTGAGATTTTAATTTTCTAGATAATGTTTTGTGTGATGTAAAATTTATGTTATTTGGTGTGAAGGGTTATTTTCCTTTTCATATTTATTTATTTATTCTTGTGAACTTCTGTTAATTTTCAAGTTTTGCTTGTGAAAATTCTTTGACTGAAATATGAATTTCTGTGGGGTTCAGAATTGAGTTCAAATTTTATTCTTTGGGTTTGGTATGTTACAAATCTATGAAATAGATATGGGTTTTTATTTTTTATATAATTGTAACACGGTTTACAGAGATTTTAGTTTTGTAGATAATGTTTTGTTTGATGCAATGTCAAGTTATTGGAATAAACAGGACCTTCTTATGGTAAAAGTATTACAATATTTCATGTTCCTATGTAAGGCAGGATTGGTGTTACATGTCAATTTTTCCAACTTTTCTAATTTCTTGAGGAGAACTAGTTTTGACAATATTATTGTAATAGCTAGCCTGGTTATTAAATGAAAGAATTACAGAGTTAGTCCATTTCATTTCAATCAGCAAGCAGGGTAGCGTAGAACTTAGAAGGGTTATTTAGTAGTGTCATTGGAGACCATAACCTATATATAACCCAATGAGATCTTATTATTTGTTTGCACCACTAACAATAATTCTATTTCATTACCAATTAAAAACATGCAAGAATATTGGGCAAAAATCTATTATTTATATAAGGATGTTTCAATTATATATAATACAGTTTTGAAATTAACTAAATATTATAAAGTTATGGATTGAATATATTCTAACCTATTTATAGCATTATATGCACTTAAAGAAGACAAAAGAGAATCAGTAGGCTAAAAGAAGACAAAAGAGAATCAGTAGGCTAGACTCCTGGATCAAGAAAAGAAAGTTTTGAATTAGGCCTATATTCAGAACTGAGTAAAAAGGGCTTATAGACCAAAGTAGTGCAGCAAAAAACATGATGGATATCAGTACCATCTGATGTATTAAATGTAGTTTTGTATGCAGATGTGTAAGAAATGAAGGAAGAGATGATTGTAATACTATTGTGGCTGCACATAGCTGGGACTGAGTATGGGATTATATGGGCAATAGGAGCATTCACCTCAGTGCTGTGGTGTGGGTTCAACTCATTCGACCCTACTGTAAGTTGGAGTTTTGAGCATTTACTGCCACTTTCTATTATATCCTCCTATGCTTTTTCTTACTTACGTATATATATACTAGGGATAACCCGTGCCTGAAGGCACTGTCAACAATTTTTTTGGTATCATGTGCTACAAAACTCAATGGTAATAAATTAATTCAAAATGGTAAAATCACTCCAACTTAAAACTTCACAAATAAGAAACTGAAATTGCTTCTACACATTGAATTAGCGAAAGCATTTATAAATTTCAAATAGCAAATTTCAAAATGAAAGTCCAAAAAATGAAATATATATTTGAATGTAGCATATGCAAAGAATCTAGAAATATTTGCTAAACTTAAAGTCTAAATAGCAAATTTTAGATTTTTATCCACGTCAAAATGGCACATCTATACACTATAGCAAGTTAGAATGGGATAACTTTTAATAAAAGAATATTATTGAATTAGTATCATAACTGGTAACCCTTTCGCTTTATCAGGTTTAAATTCTTTCAAATAAAGGTCAATGAACATTTTGATACAAAAGAATCATCCTAGCTAATCCAAAAATAAATAAATAAATAATTTAACATGAGAGAGCCAACCAATGACACACCGGTAGAAGCAACGTATCCCAATGTTTTCAATATGGATCAATGACCTACAACAAAATCACTCGCTTAAATTCGCTTAAAAAAACCAATAGCTATGAAAAATCGCATCAAAATCATATGAGAAATCGGAAGAAATTGTAATGAAGAATAGTTGCATCAAAAGAAACCGTAGTATGAAAAATCGCATCAAAATACATATGAGAAATAGGAAAATCAATAGCTATGAATTAAGAAGAATTGAATATAACTATTATGGTCAATTGAATTATGTCATTCAACGGCGAAGTGAGAATAGACATATGTATGCATTACTAAAGTAAACAAATGAATAGAAAAACAAATAATAATATAGATAGATCAATTGAGAATAAATCCATCAATGGAAGGCATCCAAATAGAATTAAACTCAAATTTTGTAAGGGGAGCGAATAATTTTCTTTATTAAGACTAAGAGAGTCTTGTTATAAGGAAGGAGAATTTTTGAAGGCTATAAAACCAAACAAAATTAAAATTTTAAACAATTAAAGCTTACCTTGTGTGAAGTATCCATTTTTGGATGATCACGGTCCTTTGAGTTTCCATTCCAGTGATAATGCATAACTCATTTTCTAGTTGAAGCATTATGTATAACAATTAGTAGGCAACAAAAAAAGAATCAAACTTGAAATCAATGTTAATGGGCAAATCTAACTAAAATTAAACCCAAGGTTCATTAAATAAAATTAAGTGTACTATTTTTAAAAACAAAGATTACAACCAAAATACTTATAAAAGATACTTACCACAACTGAAAAACGAAAGAAGAAGAATGAAACTGAATTAAACATAATTAAGTAGAGAAACGGAACAGTTAAAAAGAGAATGAGAAACACATAATTAATACTCCAAATGATAATAAACAAAATAGTTACATAGAGGAACCAAATTAAACAAAATAAAGATATGTTTCCGAAAATCAATACATGAAAATTGATTTTAGAAACCCATTCAAAAACCCATTTTAATAATTGTGCTGGTTCATTTATCATTTTATATTTTGGAATCAAAACCATTCATAAACACATTTAAATCTAACCCGTTTTAAAAAATCATTACATGAAGATGGGTTTCTAAAATCTAAACCATTTCAAAAAAATCATTACATGAAATTCACGGCAACATGTAAAATGAAGCCTATCTAATAAAAATTTAAGATTCTTAATTTTCACATGTAAAATGAAGCCAGATCGAACAATAGATAAGCAACAAATTATTGACAAATCCATAATGGAAGGCAGACCAATTACCTAATCAACCATTGTGGCAAACAAAGTCACAACAATTTTTTATGAGCTAATCAAACACTCCTTCAAGCCAAGGCATATGTACCTGAAACAAAAGGAAGAATAGAAAATATAAGCAAGCAGT